TGAAATGTTTTCATCTACCTTTTAAGAGGCAAGGATGGTGAGACTGTGTCTCACATACTTTGGACATGTTGTCAGGAGGGATCAGTCCCTGGAGAAGGGCATCATGCTTGGTAGAGGGTCAGCGAAAAAGAGGAAGACCCTCAACAAGATGGATTGATACAGTGGCTGCAAAAAATGGGCTCAAGCGTAAGAACGATTGTGAGGATGGTGCAGGACAGGGCAGGGTTTCCTTCTGTGGTGCACAGGGTCGCTATGAGTCCGAACCGACTCGACAGCACCTAACAACAACCTTTTTATTAAAATAGCTTTCAACTATTAACTGTTAGAAATGGAAGTTGATTCAGATTTTGAAATGCTTCTTAGTGACAGGTGGATCCTCATATTTGGGGTGGATTTCAATAAGGAGCATTACTGGGAATGTAAATCTAGCTTTCTTACTTTATATGCAGGATAGCAAATTGTTAAAACTAAGTTTGAGGTAGGCATGAATAATTAGCATTAGGAAGTGAATGATTATTCCATTATGTATATCAACTACTGAGAGGAATTATTTGAGATCCCAGAAGAAAACAGTAAAGATAGTTAAAAAGTAGAAAATAGCCTCTATTGGCCATTTAAAGTAAGGGGAGTTGATTTAGTCAAAAGGAAAGGATAATGTCCTGGGAATGAGAGTTAAGTGTTATGAGATGCTATTAAAGGGAGGTTGTGGATTCTCCTTTTCTGGAAATGTTTGAAAACAAGACAGATCTTCATCTCTCAGGAGAAGTGTTGGAGTTGTGTTCTGCCCAGAGGCAGGAAGATTAACCGGATTATGCCTGTGTGGTCCTTGGAAGAGCCTTAGAATGCAGTAAATATTCCTCAGTGTGTTGGCTGAAACTAGTGTTTCGTAGTTGGGGTTTTTTAATTTTTTCTTTTATTGTGCTTTAGGGGAAAGTTTACAGAACAAATTAGTTTCTCGTTCAACAGTTTATGCACAAGTTGTTTTGTGACATTGGTTACAGTCCCTGTGACATGTCAACAGTCTCCCCCTCTCCACCCTGGGTTCCTGGTTTCCATTTGTCCCATTTTCCTCTCCCTGCCTTCTCATCTTCGCTGTTTGGCAGGTGTTGCCCATTTGGTCTCATTTACATGATTGAGCTCGGAAGCACAGTCCTCACGTGTGTGATTGTTTGTTTCATAGACCTGTGTAATCTTTGGCTGAAGGGTGAACTTTGGGAGTGACTTCAGTTCTGAATTAAAAGGGTGTCTGGGGCCACAGTCTCGGGGTTCCTCCAGGCTCTGTCAGACCAGTAAGTCTGGTCTTTTTTTTTGTAAATTTGAATTTTGTTCTACATTTTTCTCCCGCGCTGTCCGGCACCCTCTATTGTAATCCCTGTCAGAGCAGTCAGTGGTGGTAGCTGGGCTCCATCTTCTTGTTCTGGGCTCAGACTGGTGGAGGCTGTGGTTCGTGTGGTCCATTAGTGGTTTTCTTTATTCTCCTTTGCTGCAGATGGTACGGGATCAGTAGATGTATCTTAGATGTCCGCTCGCAAGATTTTAAGACCCAAGACGCTACTCACCAAAGTAGGATGTTATACCAATTGACCTAGATGTCCCCCGAGGCCATGGTCCCAGTCTTCAGCCCAGTAACTGGGTCCCTCAGGGTGTTTGGATGTGTCTGTGAAGTTTCTGTAACTTTGCTTTGGTCACATTGTGTTGGCTTCCTCTGTAATGTGTACTGTCTTACCCTTCACCAAAGTTGCCGCTTACCTACTATCTAGTTAGTGATTTCCCCTCTCCACCCCTCCTCTCCCTCGTAACCATCAAAGATTGTTTCTTTCTGTTTGTAAACCTTTTCTTGAGTTTTTATAATAGTGGTCTCATGCAGTATTTGTCCTTTTGTGATTGACTTACTTCATTCAGCATAATGCCCTCCAGAGTCATCCCTGTTGGGAGCTGTTTCGGGACTTCATCATTGTTCTTTATCATTACATAGTATTCCATTGTGTGTATGCACCATGATTTGTTTATCCATTCATCTGCTGATGAGCACTTAAGTTGTTCCCATGTTTTTGCTATTGTGAATAATGCTGCAGTGAACATGGGTGTGCATATGTCTGTTCGTGTAACAGCTGTTATTTCTCTAGGATATATTCCTGGGAGTGCGATTGCTGGATCGTATGGTATTTCTATTTCTAGCTTTGTAAGGAGGCGCCATATTGTTTTCTGTAGTGGTTATACCATTTTACATTCCCACCAGTAATGTGTAAGAGTTCCAATTTCCCTGCAACTTTTCCAGCATTTGTGATTTTCTGTTTTTCTTTGATTTGTGCCAGTAAGGTCAGGGTGAGATGGTATCTCACTGTAGTTTTGATTTGCATCTCTCTAATGACTAATGACTGCAAGCATTTCCATATGTGTCTGTGAACCGCCTGAATGTCTTCTTTGGTGAAGTGTCTGTTCATATCCTTTGTCCCTTTTTAAATTGGCTTATTTATCTTTTCGTTATTGAGATGTTGAAGTATTCTGTAGATTTTAGAGATTAGACCCTTGCTGGATATGCCATAGCCAAAAATTTTTTCCCAGTCTGTAGGTTCTCTTTTTACTCTTTTGATGAAGTCTTGATGAGCATAAGTGTTTAATTTTTAGGAGCTCCCAGTTATCTAGTTTATCTTCTGGTGTTTGTGCGTTGTTAGTTATGGTTTGTATCCTATTTATGCCATAGCTTAGGGCCCCTAGTGTTGTCCCTATTTTTATTTCCAGGATCCTTATAGTGTTTTGTTTTTTTTTTTAAACTTGGTTATTATAAGAATAGAATGAATGTCTAAGTAACAAAATTAAATTTGCATCTGGGGTTGATGGTGTAAGGTGTGTGCATTATATATACCTCAATCAGTTTGAAAAGCATTAAAATAAAGTATATGTAGTGCTGAAACTATCCAGAACATGACTTAGACTTGTACGATGTAGAAAGTACCTACATTATTGCAAGGTCTCAATGCCTTTAATCATTCAATAAGTAACTATAAAGCAACCATTGTGAACACTGAAGGATATAAAGATGAATTAGATATGGTTCCGCCTTCAAGGAACTTAGTCTGCCGGTGGAGATAAGACATATACACGGATCACATGCGCAGTTAAGTGTAAAGTGAAATAAATGGAATAGTAACCATAGCAATGGATTAAACAGTGTTGTGAGATTTCAGAGAAGGGAAAGTTCATTCTTTTGGAATTAACCAAGGAATCCTTCCTGGAAGGAAATGTATTGAACTGAGTGTTAAGGAGTGAGAAGCATTTTGAATGTGGAAACGAAGAAGAGAACAAGGACAGAGGTGGCATTGTACCTAGTAGTTCCGAGGTGAGGACAAGTTCAGCTGGAGTGTTAGGAAGCTGGGGGAATCAGCTACAAGTGCCATGTTGTGGCCCCTTCAAATGCCAGGCCAGAGAGCCTGGGGTCTGTTGCTCTGTGCCTGTGATCCCCTGGAAATGAGCAAGCAGTAAACGATGCCATACACGGATGTTCATGGTTTGCTGTTTGGACTGAAGGAGGGAAAGGCTATATATACATAGCAAAGAGCCCAAGAAAGTGGCCGCTGAGTCATCTGGTCCAGAGCTTGCCAACGGGTATTCTGAGAAAGACTAGTTTCAAGGCATGTCAGTAGGTCTCCCTCAAAAAAGAGTTTCATTGCCAAAATTAATCGGGGAAATAAAAAGGTAAAACAATTAAATGGGTTGTTTTGCCGGAGGTGAGTCCGTGGGTGGTACAAATGGTTAACAAACATACTTGGCTGCTGACTGAAAAGTTGGAGGTTTGAGGTGCCTCAGAAGACAGGCCTGGCAATCTACTTCCAAAAAATCAACTATTGAAAACCCTGTGGAGCACAGTTCTACTCTGACACACATGGGGTCACCATGAGTCGGAGTTAACTTGAAGGTAACTGGTTGGTGGTGATTGTTTTTTTTTCCTTTGCTGGAGGACTCCTTAGAGGCTTTAATATGTACTGTGTACTGAGAATCTCAGATAGAGTCAAGTTTGCACCGTTTCCAACATGAATCTTTTATTCATGGACTATCTCCTTGGAACACACTTTGGGGAACATTGCCATATGCGTTTGCTAATACTGATTTGAACACAAGTGGTGGTCCATGTGTGGGAAACAGTGGTTAGATGGGCGTTGTAAGAGAGGAAGTACCAGCAATTCCTGGCTCCTAGCAGGCGTTCGTCAGCTCTACAGAAAGCTAGTGCATACAAGGGTAGATTATAGATTTGTTAATGATACTTGGCCCGAGATTGCATGCTGAAAGAGGAGAGGGAAAGGGGCCAAAATGGGGAGTCTTGAGTTTCCGCAACGTGAGGAATGAGAGCATCATGGAAAGACAGGAGGAGAAACTAGTGTCACGGAGAGCCGATGGTTTCGGTCTTCCCATGCTGAATTTGAGAAGTCACAGGAGGTCTGGCCAGAGTGTCCCACAGATGACGGAACTGTGGCTCTTGGGAGAGAAGTCTTTTTTTTTTCCTCACTAAATGTATCATTTAGAAAAAATGAAGTTCTGTTGCCTTGTTGCTTCAATTCTGGATATGTAGTAATTTTGATATACAGTTTATTGTGATACAGAAAGGTAATCATACGTTTGATCTAAAAGAAACTCAAGGGTTAACAAAGCACCAAACGGACAAACCCAGAAAAACTCGCTGCCGTGGAGTCGATCCCGACTCATAGCGACCCATAGGGTTTCCAAGGCTGTAAACCTCGATGGAAGCAGACGGCTACATCTTTCTCCTGGGGAGCTACTGGTGGTTTCAAACCACTAAACTTCCAGTTAGCAGTCGAACGCTTTAACCACTGCGCCACCAGGGCTCCTTACCAAACAGTGTTTTTCTAAATCAAACACTAGCAGACATCGCTCTCATTTTTATCAGTAATTTTTTGTTGTTGTTTGGGTTCTTTTTTGTAGTCATATGTACTCATGTAAAGTTAATTAACTTTTAAGTTTAATATTTTGTTTTTTTCATTCAGGTATTTGCCTTTGATTATTGCTTTTGGTCCATGGATGAATCTAACACTACAAAATATGCTGGTAAGTTGGTTATTTCTCTGCCACTGACTGTTGGGCCCCTGGCTGGCCTTTCTTCCATTAACTCTATTTTCCTGAATTATTCTGGAGTTTTGTTTTTCTTCTGAAACTTGTACTCATTCTTTCCAATTCTGCTTGTGGGATTTGAAGCCAGTGAGGTTGGTTTCAGAACTGGCCCTGTCTCTTACTGCTGAGAAGCCTTGACCCGTCTTTTAACCTCACTAAGCTTCATCTGAAAGGGGTGTTTAATCACTTCAGAGGCATTCCAAGAATTAGCAATAATGAGGGAACCACCTCAAGCTATAAATGGGGGCTGTTGTGATTATCACATGAGGAAGAGGTTTAATTTGTCATGCCTTTCCTGTGTACTGACTTTCTTTCTTTTTTTTTTTTAATTGTGTTTGTGGTGAAAGTTTACAGCACAAGTTAGTTTCTCATAGAAAAACTTATACACACATTGTTATGTGACCCTAGTTGCTCTCCCTGTGCTGTGACAGCACACTCCTCCTTTCCACCCCAGATTTCCCGTGTCCATTCAGCCAGCCCCTGACCCTCTCTGCCTTCTCATCTCACCTCCAGACAGGAGCTGCCCGTTTAGTCTCTTGTATCTGCTTGAGCTAAGAGGCACACTCTTCATGGGTATCATTTTATGTCTTATAGTCCAGTCTGTTCTTTATCTGAAGAGTGGGCTTCAGGAATGGTTTTAGTTCTGGGTTAACAGAGAGTCCAAGGGCCTTGTCTTCTGGGGTTCCTCCAGTCTCAGTCAGACCATTAAGTCTGGTCTTTTTATGTGAATTTGAGTTCTGCACCCCACTTTTCTCCTGCTCTGTCAGGGACTGTGTGTTGTATTCCCTGTCTGGGCAGACATTGGTGGTAGCCGGGTTCAGGCTGATGGAGTCTCTGGTTTACGTGGCCCTTTCTGTTTCTTAGGCTAACATTTCCCTGTGTCTTTGGTGTTCTTCATTCTCCTTTGCTCCAGGTGGGTTGGGACCAATGGATGCATCTTAGATGGCCGCTCGTAAGCTTTTAAGACCCCAGACGCCATGCACCAAAGTGGGATGCAGAACATTTTCTTAATAAACTTTTGTTATGCCAGTTGACCTAGATGTCCCCTGAAAGCATGGTCTCCAGACCCCCACCTCTGCTACTGTGTCCCTCGAAGTGTTTGGTTATGTTCAGGAAACTTCTTAGCTTTTGGTTTAGTCCAGTTGTGCTGACTTCGCCTGTAGTGTGTGCTGTCCTTCCCTTCACCTAAGATAATTCTTGTCTACTATCTAGTTAGTGAATAACCCTCCCCCTCCCTCCCCCCTTGTAACCGTCAAAGAATGTTTTCTTCCGTGTTTAAATCTTTTCTTGAGTTCTTCTAATAGTGGTCTCATACAATGTTTGTCCTTTTGCGATTGACTAATTTCACTCAGCATAATGCCCTTCAGATTCATCTATGCTGTGAGATGTTTTGTGGATTCATCGTTGTTCTTTATCGTTGCATAGTATTCCATTGTGTGAATATACCATAATTTATTTATCCATTTATCTGCTGATGGTTGTTTCCATCTTTTTGCTATTGTACACAATGCTGCAGTGAATGTGGGCGTGCGTATATCTATTCATGTGACGGCTCTTATTTCTCTAGGATATATTGCAAAGAATGGGATTGCTAGATTGTATGGTACTTCTATTTCTAACTTTTTAAGGAAGCGCCAAATTGATTTCCAAAGTGGTTGTACCATTTTACATTCCCACCAACAGTGCCTAAGTGTTCCAGTCTCCCCACAAGCTCTCCAACATTTATTATTTTGTGTTTTTTTGGATTAATGCTAGCCTTGTTGGGGTAAGACAGTACCTCATTGTAGTTTTGATTTGCATTTCTCTAATGGTTGATGATCGTGAGCATTTCCTCATGTGTCTGTTAGCTGCCTGAATGTCTTCTTTGGTGAAGTGTCTGTTCATATCCTTCGCCCATTTTTTAATTGTGTTATTTGTCTTTTTGCTGTTCAAGTTTTGCAGTATCTTGTAGATTTTAGAGATTAGACCCTGATGGGATATGTCGGAGCCAGTATTTTTTTCCCAGTCAATAGATTGTCTCTTTACTCTTTTAGTGAAGTCTTTTGATGAGCGTGTTTGATTTTTAGGAGCTCCCAGTTATCTAGTTTCTTTTCTGGTGTTTCTGCATTGTTACTTACGTTTCGTATTCTGTTTATGCTGTGTATTAGGGCTCCTAGCATTGTCCCTATTTTTTCTTCCATGATCTTTATCATTTAGATTTTATATTTAAGTCTTTGATAAGTTAGTTTTTGTACATGATGTGAGGTATGGGTCTCTCGTTTCAGTTTTTTGCAGATGGATATCCAGTTATGCCAGCACCGTTTGTTAAAGAGACTGTCTTTTCCCCAGTTAACAGACTTTGGGCCTTTGTCAACTATCAGCTGCTCAGAGGTGGCTGAATTGATGTCTGGATTCTCAATCCTGTTCCATTGGTCTGTGTGTCTGTTGCTGTACCATGTACTGACTGTCTTTACGCATCGTTCGGCATAAGCCAAGCCCAGGTGCCATTGGTTTCCAGAACCCACTCATGTACTGAGTTTCCAAAGCAGTCAGTACTGACATAAACTGCATATTCCTCAGGGAACTTTTCCTCCTGGCCCCACATTTCACAAGGGTTCCTGCCTTAATGTATTTTCTTCCCCATTCCATCGAACATGTCATCATTTATGATCCTAGGTGAATCTTAGGCTTTCCTCGGAACCTGTTATAGTTGCGTTTGTTTTAGTGGAAGTCTTTGATGCTTACCTACTGATTGTGCCCGCCCCTGCGTAGATATTTCATCTTAATGAATGTTGTCTTCTTATTTGTGCGTATATGAGTATCAGCTGAGTGACTTTCCCACTTAGTATTAAAAAGGAGAAGGAAAGAGATCTTAAAAGATTTGAAGAGAAAGGGACATTACTTATTTGTAGGGAATGAAATCTTTAAAAAATTGATAGCCTTTTCTTTGCCTTGGAAAGCAAACTTGTTGAGAAATTATTTGATACATAATTTTTTCAGAAATTAACATTCTTGCAGTAGGAGAATTCCTTCAGTTGCTCCTATTTGGGTAAATTAGCCCACCTTTCCAGAAACATCATTCCTGCAAGCTCAGCAGTGTATTTTGTTAAAGTAAATAAGTAGTATCTTAATGTGGGTTGTAATTAATTCGCCTGTTCTTTGGGACTTCAGATCGTAAATTCTAGAGTGTCTGGAGCAGTCTGCCTTGACTGTTAGCCCTGTGTGTGTTTGTGCTGGGAGTGTGCTTTTAGATTTAAGTAAACAACAAAAGTACGACATTTCCTGCTGGTTACAGAGACAGAGGGGGACAAATGCTATACAGAGACCAGTCTTTTGCTCTGTTCAATTAATGTTATGCAGATTCAGCCAGGTAGATCTTCCTGAACTAAAGCTCTTCTCATGCCGTTCTCAGATAGTTTCAAGGGCTCCTCATCACCTGTTGGATAAAACTGCAAACCCCTTGGGCTACCTTCAAGGTCGTTTATGATATGGCTCCAGTTCACTGCTCCCTGACTGTAGCGCCCATTCTGTGCCCCAGAGTCTGTTCTTTGTTTCTTTTATATAGTCTGGGAAGCCAGAAAGTCTCAGAACAACTCCCTAAGTGCTCATGTAACCCTTACCATGTGTGCAGACCAGGAGCTCCTTGAGAAACTCAAAAACAGATTTGGAGAGCAAAATTAATGTATATTAAACAATAGTAAACATTTTGATATATAGTGAAACTAAATTTTGCAGGTTTTATGTGCTGTAGAAATTCCGAGAAGAAGCAAAAATGTGGTAAGGCTGAAGTCTCCTGAGAAGACATCGTAGAGGAGATAGGACTTATACTGGGCATAAGTTAAGCCTAGGATTTCGATGAAGGTCAGTGTAGAGGGCATTAGTGAGAAGAGAGGAAGCAGCATGCTGTCAAGGAAAGCACATGGGCTCTGAAGTCAGACCTGGGTCTGCATCCCAGAACCACTGCTTTGGTTCTCTTGGATGATTTCTTTCATCTCTCGGAGCTGTAATTTCCTTTTCGTAAAACGGGAAAAATGGGAGTGATAATACTTACATGGTCACTGCAGGGGTTAAATAGGTAACATAATGTGCTGGTTAATGGAAGGCACCCGCAATCGGCGCTTCATTGGACTTGCCCTTCAGTGAAGGTGGTGGCTCTGTGGTTAAGAGCTCGGCTGCTAACCAAAAGGTCGCCAGTGTGAATCCACCAGCCTCTCCTTGGAAGCCTTATGGGGCAGTTCTGCTCTGTCCTGTCAGGTCACACCATCAGTCAGAATCCACTCGGCAGCAACGGGTTTGGTTTTTGGTTTCAGTGAAGTTGCAGAGGGGACTGAGTGTGGTGTCCAGCCCTGTTCTGGGTGGAAAGTGTGTGTTGGGGTGAAGCAGAGGAGACCTGTTTGTGCATGTTAAGTGAGACCAGATAATGGGAAATTCTAAAATGGACTGAGTGTAGACTGACGTAGTGTTCAGTAGGGGCTGCTGGAGTGAGGTGGTTAAAATAACGGTTATGGTGGTTGTACATCTCGAAGAATGTAATCGGTGTCACTGAATTGTACATGTAGACATTGTTGAATTGGTATATGTTCTACTGGGTGTGTTCTCAACAACAAAAATAAAATAAATTATTTAAAAAGTAATAGTGGCAGCCGAGGGAGATTGTTTTCATTGGATGACATCCTCCTTTATTGCTCGGAGAGACCGCTCTAGCCGTCTGCAGTGTATCACTCAGGTCCCTGGATATGGGACAAACTGTTTTCTTTTATCAGAAATTATCTCATTAAGTACAGATGATAAAACACTACACGTGAAACTCAAGATTTCTGTAGCTCTTCATTACAAATAGTTACGTTCAGAAATAAGAAAGATAAAAATGATTTTTTCATTGTGATAAATGTATATGTAGTAAAATATTCATCTTCTTAACATTCTTCATATGCACAATTCTGTGATATTATGTTTAT